TTATTATTATTATTATTATTACTATTACTATCTTTACTATCTCTATAATAATAATAATAATATTTATTATAGAGATTAAGCTATTAGTAAACTATTATCTTAATATTAATATTATCTCCTATTATACTATCTAACCTCTCTATAAAACCTCTAGAAAGTATATAAACTCTAAGAAGTTCTAAAATAAATATTTTATATAAAATATTTAGATTACTATTTATAGCTATTTAAACCCTTAGAACTCTTATATCTCTAGAAAGATTTTATATAATATTATTATTATAAGAGAAAAGTATTAAAATAAACTAAATAATATATATATATAATATTTTATAGATATTTAAAAGATTAGAAAGTTTATTTATAATAGTAAGTATTATAATATAGAACTTATTCTCTTTTCTAATATTATTAGATAAATAGATCTTATTATAATATATAAAAAGACTTTTAGAGATAAAGATATAAATTCTAAGATTAAAGATATCTACTATTACTATTAGTAATTACTAGATATAGATCTTCTTAATTAAAATATTTTTTAGAAAGATTAAACTTTTTATTAAGATATTTAGCTATCTTTATTAAAAATATTAATCCTATATTAATATTTATTCTATTCTTAGCTAGAAAGTCTTTAATATCTCTATTTAATACTATTATAACTAGATTTAACTAATAATTCTATTTATAAATAAATAATATCTTTATATTAATTATTAATATATTAGAGCTATTATACTAAGTAGTCTAAGCTTAATATAAAGTAAAGCTAGATAGTATTACTAAACTACTCTTATAGATCTTCTTTACTATTTTCTTTATATTCTAATTAAAGTTAGTAAAATAGTACTATAAATAGTAATTATAAAGATATATTATTATATTAATAAGCTATTTCTAATCTTAATTACTAAATATATTATATAGAATAATAATACTAATAATATAAATCTCTTATAGAGATAATCTATTAATAAAGTCTCTTTTTTATAGCTTTTAGATAATAGCTAGAGTATTAAAAACTCTATCTATTTCCTTATAATAACTTTTAAATTTACTAATTCTTAGCTTAGCTTAAAAAGCTTTTACTAGAGTTATTAGCTTATTATTATTACTAAGTTCTTATTCTAATATTTATATTATCTAGTTCTATTATAATAGATTTATAATTAGTTTAGAAGATTTATATAAGAATTAGATTAATAAATAGTTATAGAGAGATATTATTCTTATTTTTCTTATCTTTATTAATATCTTAATAGTTTAATATATCTAGTAAGACTAGAGTTAATATCTAGATAAACTAAATATCTTTTAAGAGTATAATTATTAGGAAAGAAAAAAATAGCTTTATATAACTTATATAGCTATCTATATCTAAATTATTCTCTTTATTATTAGTCTAAATATAATCTCTAGTAAGCTTATAAACTATATACTCTAGTATATCTTTCTTAATAAAAGATATATACTACTAGCTAATAAACTTCTTAAACTTTTTCTTATATCTAGAGAGAGTTTTAAATAGATCTATATAGTTCTACTTATTAGATATATAGAGTATAATAGTATCTTATATTAATAAGCTAATAATATTAGTATTAGAGATAATAGGGAAAATAGAATTAGAAAGAAAGCTAAATAATAGATTACTATATATCTTAGTACTAGAAATCTAATTAGAGCTACTAACTATAATATTTAAGATCTTCTAGAAGAGAGACTAGCTTAATCTAGTTTCTAATATATTAAGGCTTTTAATAGCTAATAGATTTAAAATAAAAAACCTTATAAACCTCTATTATATATAATTATTATAGTACTATTATTATTTAGAATATAATATCTAGATTATCTAAGGCTTCTAGATTAAGGTTTAAATATTAAGTGCTGGTAGAATTTTCTAACTAATAATACTATAACCAAAGACTAGGTAGATCTACAGTTATAATATCAATATCAGTTAAAGGAGAGAAATTATAACTAAGCTGTATAGTTAAAGCTAATAACTATAATTAATTATATATATATTTAGTATTTAGTTAGGGATTTCTGTATTTAATTAATTAAATAAGACTATCCAGGTTATTATATAAGCTAAACTAGCTGTAGAATAATAAGTTAAAGATTATAATTTTAAAAATAAAGAATAATTTAAGAGTAAAGATAGTTCTTTATTTTTAGAGCAGTAAATATTTACTGCTTAAGTAGTATATAGCAAATTACCCTAACTAACTATAGAAATTACATATACTCTTAATTTACTAGATAGATTAGAAGAGTTATTTATATAGCTAAGTAAGTAGATATATTTAGCAGGCTTTATTATTATAGCTATAGCTAAAGCTATTATTCTTTTTCTACTTATTAGTAATATTACTAGTAATTAGTCTCTTAATAAATAATAAATAATAAATAATAAATAATAATAATAATAATAATTTCTCCTTCTATAGTATTTCTTTATTCTCCTTCTAATATAAATAAAGAAAGAAGGGAATTACTTATAATAAGTTAATAAATATTTTAATAGTTTCCTAAGCCTACTAGATATATTATACTATAAACCCTATTTAAATAATCTAATCTAGTTTTTTCTATTTAGAATATCTTAATTAGAATTAGTAAATAGATCTTTTATATATATAGAACCCCTTATTATATATATAATAGTATAGTATATTAATCTAATAAACTAAAAAGAAAATAAATAATCTATATATATTTAAATAAAAGATCTAGTATATTTTTAAATACTACTTACTAGGTTAATATATATATAGAAATTTAAAAGAATCTTTAAAATCTCTATTATTTATAATACTTTAACTATTAATTATTCTAAATCTAATATTTAGTATCTTTAATAAACCTAAGTAATATCCTTAAAATACTATCTTTATATATTAAATATTTATATTATTATTATTATTATAGTATTAGAATATTAGAAAGCTAAGATTAAACTAAAAATATAATCTTAATTAAGATATTATAAAGAATTTATTTTATTATTATTAATATCTTTACTAAATATCTATATAACTAGACTATAGAATATAATTTTATAATATTTATAGTTAAATTTACTCTTATTTATTATATCTATAAGAGAATTACTATTAATAGTAATAAGCTCTAGTATATTATAATTTAACTTCTTCTTTATTATTAATAGTAGTACTTTTTCTAATAGATTAGATAATAATAGTAGTAATAACTAAGTTATAATAGATTTTATCTTTCCTAAGTTATTATTATTATCTTCTAGATTAGATATATTAATACTAATAGATAACTTACTAGGGAATATTAGGATATAATAATATAGAAGTTTAAATAAACTAGCTCTATCTAGATCTCTAATTAGAAAGTAATATAATAGAAAAGAATATATACTAGATATACTATTTCTAGAGGAGGTTTTAATATACTAATACTTATATAGAACTAATTTAATAGACTTAATAAATAATAATATAATAAATATAATTACTCTAAATAGTAATATATTATTAGATAACTATTTACTAGTATCTAGTATAAATATATAGATTAATATAGTAGAGGAGAGTAGTAAGTTATAATATATATACTTAATATATCTATATAGTTATAAGTCTTACTTAGATTAAATATTTAACTCTATATAATATATATAGCTTATTAATAATTAATTCTAAATAGTATTATTAATCTAAATAGTAGGCTAGATAAAAATATTAATACTATAAATAAGTATTCCCTAAATAAGATATATAATAAAGAATAAGATAAAGAATAAAATAAAGAATAAAATAAACTAGTTACACCAGGGTCTTCAGGGCGGCCGGCATAATAAGTCTCTATCCCTGCCGTTCGTCTGCCCCTCGAGCCTGTATTAGCCATTGCGTATTACCAGCTTACTAAGATCTACCCCGGGTAGATCCGAATAGGGCCGGGGGTATATTAATTAATCGACGATATAGGCCCGCTATTATTAGGCTAGGACTGCCTTCTGAGTATAGCAGCTCCTTAATATGAGCTTCCTGAGGCTCTGCCTCCCTAGATCTAATAGCTTACTAATTAGTACCTTTAATAGCGGAAGCCTGGGGTTATTAGGTACTGGATTTCCTAAGATATTACCCTTACTGGCTTTTATTACCTCCTATATCTCTAGTTTCCGCAGAGACCTTACTTTCTGAACTTTATTAGTTCTATCTAAGCCTTAGGTAAACTATAGTACTAGTTTCAGGTGTTCCTGTAATTACCTTCGGCTGGATTAGCTATAATAGGGTTCTTGGACTTATAATATTATTATACTGTATACTGGTACTTATCCTTAGATAACCCGGCGGCCTTCAGTCTCTACCTGTAAAGATAGCTATTACTGACTTGCTCTGTTAGTTATATATATCCGTACCAGTATTATATTATCTATTAAGTTCTCTACTATCCCTTCTATTAATTCTTACTATCAGATAACTACTTTACCTGATCCTAGTACAACGGGTAAGACCTAGGGCCTGCTGCTTATATCCGCTGGACTACTCCTTGCTAATATTGCTGAGTCCTTCTATCTTTCTATTTTTACCTGTACCCTGTATTTCCCTGGGCAGAATCAGCTGGAATATTAAGGGCTGGGTAATCTCTGCTATATAAGGCTCCCGTTATCTATCCTTATTACTAGCTTTATTATATAGTCTAATATAATACCTCTGGTCTATATCCTCAGCCAGGCTGTAGATATTAATCTTATAGTGCTCTGTAGGTATAAGAAACCCTATATCTTAGCTACTATTATATTCTACTGTTTTATTTACTACTTTCTTAAGCCTACTGCTTTTACCTATTATAGGTATACTATTAGACAGACCTAATACTTTTTTCCTATATTTAATTATCTTTATATAGATATATCTACTATACTCTTTACTATATCCTCCTTCCTTAGCTATTAGACCTTAACTTCTTATAGCTTTAATACTATTCTTACTTAATCTATCTACCTTCTGAGATATCTTACCTATTATATATATCTTCTAAACCCCTATCTTTCTATTAGCTTATCCTAGAGGAATTAATAAAATTAGATTCTAATATTATCTACTTTCAGATTAAAGTAGCTATAAGTTATTAGTAGATCAGACTTAGTATTAGATTAAGTATAAGTAACTCTAATATCTTTATAATCTATTAGAATAGTAATAGTAATATAATTCTTAGTATATAGACTAGGATAGATTATATTATATCTTAGTACTTAGAAAGAAGTAATATTTAATTTCTAGCTAGATCTAGTATTATAAATAGGAAGATAATTACTAATATTAGATATAGCAGATATAATAGGTTAGAATTAGGAGGAACTAACTCGTGGATTACAGTATAGAGGGAGGGTAATTCTCTTAGTTTAGCAGATCCGCGAGCGAATATTCAGAAGCATAATAGCAAGATAAGATTCTCTATTAATTTTAATAAAGCTACTATTAGCTCAGATAGTAACCCCTTTATCAGTTTATTAAGTAATAATACTAGTAGCAATTATAACTCCGATTCTAGTTCCGATTTTAGTTCTAATAGCTCCGAAGATAGTGATTATATATTAGTATATAGCCATAGTATCGTTATATCGGTTATTTTCCTAATCGGATATCCTATTAGTACTATCCTGATAGCTGTTCTCGGGAGGTAGCTTGTCCATACAGGTTGGCAGATACTCGGCTTCCTGGGTATATAGTCTGGATTCGGTCTTAGCTATATTGTCGCGGACTGATATACCTATATAAGTCTTACCTCTGTTATTATATACCTATACCAGTTATACCAGTATCCTTTGCATTTACTAACTTCGCCTTAATAGTAGTGGAATAAGACCCACATCTAACTAGGAACTATCATCTGCTTATTAATAGTCCTACAGCCGATCCTAGGATTCATTTACTATAGGTTATACTCTCGCTATCAGCAACGAACTATTATCAGCTACACTTACATCTGGTATAGCCGAATTCTTATAATACTCGGTATTATCAACGGAGATCTTAAACTCCAGCTAGGTAACACACCCAAGAGCTTTATTATTATATACTCTGCGGTTGCTAGTATCATAGCTATATTATATACTGCTAGTACCGTCTTCCAGGGGTTAAGAAAAACCCCCAGTAATACAAAATAATACCGCCTCAAGTTACCAATAAAGAGTAGCCTGAGATATACTAAGTAGTTACCGGCTTACGAGGCGGCTGATATTAGTCGGGAAGGCGGTAAGTAGCCTATTAGCCAACTCAATAGACCTCTTTCTAATACGCGTTACTATACCTGCCCTTTGCTGCGAGGTTACTGGAAAATAGGACATACAGCTATCCTGGGACCCGTAGTTGGGATAACCACTATTAAATTCGCTACTGTGCTTTATAATACGTATTTATAGACTAAGGGCAGTATAATCATACCTAATAGCATCGGGAGTCTCAGTCAGCTATAAGTAAAGGAAAAAAAGAGAGAGAGAGAGAAGAGTAGTAAGGAGTCTAGGAGAATTTAATAATAACAAAACCACTTACTTGTAATCCACTGCCTCAAGGCACGCGCCAGCCCTGCCTCCGAGCTCACGAACTGTCGTACCGCAATCACCAGTCAGCAACAGTATAGTACCACCGCCGACGTTAGCATCTCAGCTCTAGCTTGGAGGTAGCTATTAATAGTACTACTTCAGCCTACTAAACTCAGACTTACACGATAGAGCTCATAGTCCTTACTAGGATCCAAATAATATATCCCACAACCCTCGACCCGTAAGTATACGGACGCGGGAATCTATAGACTCGCCGCTGACAGGAGGAGAGATTCTTTTACTCCCAACCTTTGAGCTTCTTCCCTTCGATCTTCCCTATCTCCTTATCCTTATAGGACTTGTTTCCTTGTGTGTTCTAATCCGAGACCCCACTACACACCATCTAGCCATACAGTAGCTTGCCAGAACCTATTCATACATTCAGGGAGGACGAGTCGCAGCTGCTATTGCCCCAATTACGATAGATCAGGTATAATCCACGAGTAGATTAGTACTACGTACCAAAGGGATTACAGTTGCATCAGCAGCTAGCGTTTTAGGCCAGAAGAGAAATCCTTAACTTAAACAAGGGAAATCCGACGACGCATACTCTGTAAGGATTTGACTTTAGTAATAACAAAGCTTGCCGCGACTCTAGCTGTCCCTTAAATATACTAATAAGACTATCGTGAGAATGATCTCTATACATTGCCTGATATATAAGAGGAATGAAAAAAGAAGCTGGCATAGCACGAAGGAGGTATTCCACACACAGCCTGGCCACCTGGCATAGTTTTAAATATCTTACCTGATTAATCCTTGTTGAAGTTTCACTATCGAATATAACCCGAGTCTTACGGTTTAGAGTCTTCAGATACCAAGTTTCATCTGTCTCATTCAAATGGGAGGCAAATCTAGGTTGGTTCATCATCGAAATCACTCTCAATTCTTGATGCAGCTAAAGCAAGAGGAACAAATGGTTCGAGCCTAGTACGCCTGAGTCGAGTATAACACCCAAGACCACTTAAAAATCCAGATTTGTTGTGTGGGAGGTCGTGTCAGTTTCGACGCAGTAGCCAGAGGGTACAGCATTTCTAGTAGGCAGAAGATATTGGTCACACATCGGTTGATCCCTTCAACTTCTGCACATGGAACATGTATGACCGGCTGACTTGGCGCTTGTGGTTCCGGGTAAGGTGATTTATCATGATAGAAAATATAATTGTTTGATGCCCACCTCGGACTCTCGGTGATGCTCCCCATAGCAGGCTGGTACGAATAACCTGCGCCTTGCTGTTGCGCGTTTTGAGGCTCCTGGGGCGGCGAAAATGATGCAGTTTGGACTGGAGTCGGAGCGTACGTGCTTGCTGATTGAGCTACAACAGATGCAGGTGTAAGAGGGGGTGGTGGAGGAATTGTCTGTTGCTGCCGAGCTGGAGTCTGTTGCACGCTTGTTTGCAAGTCATGTACGTCGGCTGTAGGTATTGATGGAGCACCTCTTAGATATGTTATGGCTCAGGAACAAACGGAGGAGTTGTTAGAGATACAGATACTTCTGGGGCGAGGGCTTCAAGGGAAAGCCGGGTTGTCTATTGCGAGGTTTCTTCAAGGGGTCAATCAAAGCGGTATCACTTAGTGCAAAGAACTATAATTAATAGGCCTTGGAATATTGAAAGCACTTTTGACACTACCTGAATGATAAGCTACTAAAATAAAGTAACCATGAATCTCCTTGACGCTCCTTGATCGAATGAACTATCATCCACACCACATGAGCTGCTCCTCGTGCACCATGTACAGACCTAAACCAACCTTTTGGTCAATGAATAAGTCAGTGAAAGTAAGGCCATTGGTTATTTCAGCCCTAGGGTCATGAGGGAAAAACTCGGCCCGAAATTCATTGTACTGATTTTGCAGGTCTTTTTGTTTATACTCCCCTTCCTCGAAATAATAGCGAATCTTTCTGGAAATGGGGTTATTATTGACCCTTAGAGCGTCAAGTAACGCATCGCGAACTTCGTCAGAATAGGCCCGATTGGCTGTGATATTTCTGTTGATGCCATCATTTTTCCTAGTTGAGAAGCCGTTGAGGCTGCTGAAGGCCCCAAGAGCAATGGACTGAATGATACTTTCAAGTCGTACAAATCGATGTTGCTACATGTGCTAGGGTCAGTCACAAGCAAAAGCCCTCCAATCTCCACTGAGCATTTTCACTTACATCCATTGGACGCCAAAGACGATAATCCCTTACGGAAGAAACCCACCGGGGAGGGCTGTCTTGTTAGCTTTGTCATATGGAAGAACTCCGGCTCAAAAACGTACTCTGAACAGAGCGTTGTGTCACCCCCATGAGAATCCCAAGTAAGATGATAATCCTGAAGAAGCGTAGATTGACTTTCCTCCGTATTTGTGGAGTTTACGATAGAAAATTCACCCCCGGCACCCGCCCAGGGGGTTTGAACGCTGAGGCCAGCGGCGATGCGCGTTGTGTTTTTGATTTTCTCGATTTGCTTGCGCTCTTCATCGTTTATATTCCGGGTGCTGTAGAGGAACCCCCCAAGGGTAAGCTTTGTTATGAATATAGTGCCTGAAAGCTAGTATTAGATTATCCCAATATCAACTGATCAAATACACACCATAGTGCTCAAAGAACCGATCTCGCTCTTCTAGGGTTGTTACTGCCCTAACATCGGAGAGACAGTCCTCGTCTAACTCTAAGTCGGCAATGTCCATCTCAATGCCCGCTCGGGGGAACTGCAATAGTCAATAACATGAAAATCAGACTTTCTTTTGAACTCACCATGTAGGTGACGGATAAAGATTCTATTTTGACGTTCTCTTGTTTCGTACTTGACGCCTCTTGCTCCTTCTTTACTGATGCTTGGACTGATACTGGAATCTGCCCTCCTGCGCTATTTTTCCATTAGTATCATCCTGGTGGCCGTGACTTATGATATGGACTTACAGACTGCCTCCTATAGCCATCGAGTTGAACCCTTCTTTTATCCATTTCCTCTGCGTTTGATCCTTAATCTCAACGACCGCCACCCTGGCATCATCGTCGACGTAGAAAGGGGGAAATGGTGGTTTATACTTTACAGTCTTGTTAGTTGGCAAAATTCAGTATTACTCTCAGCATGTCAAATGGAACTGAACTGAACCTGATCAGGGGAACCCGAGCCATTCCTCCGAAGACGAAATGCTGAGGAGAGAGAGAGAGAGCGTCAGCCTATTAATCCATAATTCTATAAGTACCCATACGCACACACCTTGTTTTGGCGCCTTAGTCAGGGTATTGGTATGAAAATCATAACAATACCCAGTAAGGACACGGTTATTCTCAAGAACATGCTCCCACTGATATTCTGTCATCTCGCACGGTTGAGGTAGAGCTGGACCAGGGCCTGTTTGTTCATTGCTGGGATTTGACAGGAGACCTGGAGAGTTTTCAGCAATTTTTATCTGGAAGATGGATAAACTAGACCATCTACATATCTCCGCTATATAATTCTGATCAGCAAATATTCTATCTTCGTATACTGGGCCAAGGAACTTGCGTATCCATATTCTTCTCAGAATGACCCGCCCCTATGAAGGTTAGCTGCTATTGTATGATATAAGCGAAAATTGAAGCACTTGCATCAGGAGTCAAGGACATGTAATATGCCAAAGACATCGCGTCATCAATTCTGCTGTTTCCATCAATTGTGAAAAACAGATTTTTTGAACTTGACTTCTTAGTCTTTGTATCTAGCCAGCTCACGAAGCACTTACATGTTGGCCCGTTTTCGAATATAAGCTAGATCGATTTTGTAAGGGTTGCCACGGCTTTTGCTGTCACCCAGTTCACGGGTACTGAATGAACTAAAGGTAATACCGGGAGGGCCTTGAATAGAAAGGTGGAATAAACTGCATTGGAACATTGGAAGAGTCATTATTGCGTTGGTTTGTCAGTGGAATCTCGTGTGACTTGCAATAACCAGGCTCCTTCAGGAGCCATGCGAAATCCAATTGCTTCTTATAACGCTTTGGAACACCAAAAACCCCACCATAGGCTGACAGAGGGTCATATCACTAGCATGCCTGTGTCAATTCTGTGGCGTTTGGTTGACGCTACCTGTACTAAGCGATAAGATTAGTGCCACGAATCTGCAAGCGCCACCAAAAGCTTAGGTGAAGCTTGTTGATATGATATCTTGTAACTGCACTTGGGCCTGGCTTTACTAAATGTGGGTTGACTCTGTGATACAGCTGTATGTAAGTAAACTAAGCGATTGAAAAAGTAATAAATTATATAATATCTAAGAAAGAAGAAACTATCTATTTAATCCGTTAGAAGGTTTAATTATATATAATATAGCTTACTAATTAATTAATAAGCTATTATAATATATCTATATAGATAACTTTTTTACTTTTCCCTTCTATTAGAAAGAAATATTAAAATAATAACTAGTTATAAATAATTATAAAGTAGATAATTATAAAATTATAAAAATATATATTTATAAAACTATATAATCAGATTTATATAGTTTAGTTATTCTAAAACCTAATAAAAATATTATAATACTAAATTATATTTATTTATCTTTAGTCCCTTATAATTTATTCTTTCTTTTATATAATAATTAAATTATTATTAATAAAATATCTTAATAACTAGTTAAGTTTAATCTTAATAAAGTAATTAGTAGAATTATCTTTACTATTAGTTTAATAGATTTCTATTAATTCTTAATACTTATATAATTAATAAATAGCTATAATATTAATTATTAGTTTTTTCTCTTTTATAATATCTATTTAACTAGATATTTATAAAGAGAATATAAATTAATATATATATATATTTTTAAAGGTTTTTACTATATTTAAAAGATATTCTAAGATTAAACTATATATAACTAGATCTATATAATTTATTTTTAATTAATTTTTAATCTATATTTAACTTTTAATTCTATTTTTTTTATCTTTTTATTTATATAAGCTAAAGTAAAATAATAATATTTTTAAAAACTCTAAAAAAAGCTTACTAAATATATAATTTAGTTATAAGCTCTAAGAGAGAATACTTATTATATTTTATAATTAATTATAATATCTCTCTAAGCTTATTATTACTAATTATCTTTTATAATAATAATAGTAAATATCTCTAATATTATTATTCTCTATAGCTAGAACCTAATTATTATAAGTAACTAGATCTTTATATATATAATAATTATTATTAATAATAACTATTAGAATCTTATTTTATATATTAATTATTTAAATCTATAATCTATTATAGATTTATTTATAATAATAAAGCTACTCTCTTTTATATAGGCTTAGTAGTTATATCTACTAGATCTATTATTCTATTTAGTAACTAGCTATTAAAAAAATATATAGATAATTTTAAATTTTATTATATTTATAGAGAATTATATAAATATTCTTCTAATACTTAATAATTTTTATAATCTAAGTTATTATATATAGTTCTAGTAGATAATATATTAATTTAATTTAATTTTATTAAAATAGCTTTCTAAATTTATAGTTTATTTAGATTAATTATATTAAGTAGATAGAAAAGAATAAAATTAAATTAAAATATTAAAAAGTTTATTAAATATAGAAATTAAATTAAATAAGATTAATTAGATAGTATTTAGAATTATAATAAATTAATTAATTATTATTTTAAAATATTAAAAGAAAAATATAATAGTTAAGAAGTTATAATATATTAATTAAAAAACTAAATATAGTTTTATATAGTAAGAATAACTTTTATATTAAATAAGGAATTATTAAAATATATTAACTAATTAGTTAGTACTAGATATATAAATTAATTCTCTATAATATTAATAAATAGCTTTTTACTCTTTATTAGTATATTTTAGTAATTAGTAATCAATCTTATTATAAATATAATATTTCTTAATATATTAGAAGAACTTATTAAATAGTTTATATTTATTTACTTTATTATTTAATAATTTATTATAGCTATATTATTACTATTTATTATATTACTAATTTTAATTATTCTCTTAATAATTTAATTAGTTAGATAGATATTATTATTATTATTATTAATCTATTAGTAACTATTAATCTATTAGTAACTATTAATCTATTTTTTACTTTAGTAATAGGCTTTTTAAATATTTTAGTTTAATATTCTAATAATAAAATATAATTTATTTTAAATAGTTTTAAATATATTAATTAGTTTAAATATACTTATACTATACTTAGATATATTATAATAGTAGTTTATTAATTAATTATATAATATTTTATCTAACTAATAGTTATATAAAAGAACTTATTATAATTTAATAAGTTTATTAATAAGCTAGTTAAATAATTTAGACTTTAAATATAATAAATCTATATTTATTACTTATTTTATTAATAAGTATATTATAATTATACTTTTAATTATATAGTTAATTATAATAATATATCTCTACTTAACTTTTTAATATTAATATAGTAAATAGTTTAATATACTATTTAGATTTATAATTAGTTAGATTAAATTAATAATAATTTAGATTTATAGTATAATAGTTTAACTAGATTAGTTATTAGCTATTTAGCTAGTTATATTAATAGCTGGTTATTATTTAATAGCTTTAATAGCTTTCTATTATTCTATTATATTAATAACTATTTATTATTTAGTAGTCTTAATAACTTTCTATTACTTCTCAAGAGCTTCTATCTTAAGATCTTTATTTATATAGTTATATATAATTTTAATAAGAAAATTCTTATTTTTCTTTATTAACTTATAGAAAGAAATAGATATATTTATTACTATTATCTTCTACCTCTTCTACAGTAGAAAGAGATATTAAATATTTATTTAATTTTATAATTAATTCTAATATTTTTCTAATTAATAAATATACTATTTATCTATAGTATTTAATAAAATTTATTAATTAATAGTTTTCTATAGTTAATAAAGAAAGTAATTAGTTAATAGAAAATAGAGAATAGAATATTAATATTAATAGTTTATTATAATTTAATAAAGAAAAAATTATTTATTATCTTTCTAATTATAATATTAAGTAAGAATACTTTAATAATATATTAAGTTATTATTAGTATATTATATTTTTTAATAGAAATTATCTAAATATAAATAGATAAATAAAAAAATAAAAAATAATAGAATCTAAAAGATATAGTAATTAGATAATAAATTAATATAATAAATATATTAGAAAGATAAAATAATCTATTAAATAAAAAAATAAAAAATAAATAAAAAGAATAAAAAGAAATAAATAATAGAGAATAATATTTAAATCTTCTTATAAATAGCTTTATTAATCTTTATAGCTAAATAAAAATAGCTAAAAACTATAGAAAGATAAAGAATTATTATTAATCTAATCTATTAGATATTTTTACAGTCTTTCCAGACTAATTAGTATAGATTAACTCTATAATATAGCTATATATAAAGTAAACTAAGTAATTAAAAAAGTAATAAATTATATAATATCTAAGAGTAAAGAAGCTATCTATTTAATCCGTCGGAAGGTTTAACTATATATAATACAGCTTATTGATTAATCGATAAGCTCTTATAATATATCCATACTAAATATCAGAACGCCGCATGTTTCTATAGATTTCAAAGTTATTTGTCCCCACCCAACTGAAACGGCCTGGAATGATATATGCGAAAGCTTAAGGATTTCTCATTAATCGTAAGTTTCCAAAACATGAGCTAAGCGCCTCTTTCTGTCATATCTTCAACTAGTGTGGCACTCTTATGTGAACCATTGAATCTCCCGTGGTTGACATTCGGTATTAAAATGCCGGAATACCCCAAATTCACCAAACACATCCGACATTGTAAAGTTAATGCATCAATTTTCATTGAACTAACCTACATTCACCTGTGCCATGTCTGACTTGTGTTTAAAGGAGCAAGTTGCAAGTAAGTGCACTCTGGCAAGATTGAGACAGAAAGCTGACCGCCATAGATCTAAGCGCATACTTGATAGACCAAAACCCAACCAACTTATCGACAGAATATGGGAAGGAAGCTTCCTCTAGTGACAACAATGAGTCCAAGATTAAATCGCTTCAGGCGGATTTCAAGGGGCTGTGCAAAGTTAAGGAAAACTTGTTAAATGTAAAGAATTTCCCTGCCTTGATTCCCATTGAATGTTTTACAAACTGGCAAGGAATGATTTGAGCACATGGTTAATATGAATAGAGGACTCTGGAGACCGACGTTGCCATCAAGCAATCTCGTCAGGAGATGCAGGTAAAGCTTCTCATTGAACTAGGTTGGTGTTGCCAGTGCGCCACCTCCCGAACAACAACTAACGTTCCTTAGATCCTCTAATTTCCGACGCAGCGCTGTTCGCTTCGGAAACACTGCAATCCCTTTACAATACCGGGCCTTTCCATCATCCTCAAACAGAGATAGAAACTAAGTTTCAGCAAATCCAATTACAAGCCATCCAATATCAACAGAAGTTGAATAACATAGCGGAATTGACCAAAAGTGTGAGTAATACCGGTTGGTATTGTATCTTCAGCTAACCTTTTAGTTCGAAACGAATATCTCAAACAGATTTGAAGATATCAAACGTCTTAAAGTGGAATATGGGCCGGGCGCTTCTGCTTATACTTCACAAAAGGTGGTCGACCTCCTTATCGCCAAATTGCTTAACGGCATGGGACTTCTCGTGATGCGAAGGAATGACACCATTATCAAATGGCCGAGCCCATGGTTCTATGTAAAGAGGAATCCGGAATATTTGAAGCAGGTGAGAAGTGGTCTGCTCGAAATTGTTATGGACTACCCGGCCCTTGAAGACATGAATGAACCACGACATGCGCCTTGCGGTGCTCTACAGACACCTCTAGTCGGCAATAAGGATTTGGCAACCTTGTCAAAGAAGATATCACAAAAGAAAAGAAAGGAAGACGTAGGGCTTCTAAAACTCGTGAAGCAACTGACGGATATATATGAAATCAGCGACAAAATGGAGGCCGCCAGTTGTGCCTTGTCCAGCATTTCCGCCAACTTGCAACAACAAGCCAATGCGTACTACTTTATTGCCGAAGAGATGAAAAAAGCGCAAGAAAAGTTGATTTATTCGAATTCAGATGAAAATTATTACGCTTGTTTCGAAATGACAAGATGGAGGGCTGGCTCAATATTGAAAGAGGTAAAGTTTCGAATTACAATAACGCCGCTATGTACCAAGCTGAATCATAAGATGCAGGCAAAGAAGATGGCAACAGTTCTTAGAGATGCCTTCGGCTGGGAAATATTGAAGGCCCCTACTCAACGTCATGGGGCATGATCATGCATACCCGCGATCTGGAGTATCATCCAATCTCAAGTTGGATGCTATTTTCAAATCCTATTGCAAATCTATCTTATGTTTCTAGAGAAATTGAAAGATGGCCATAGTAGCCTTGAATGTAGGCTTAATAACCATTTCTTTTCTTGAGATCAGTAGAATCCAGTTCATGCTTTGTTCGTCCCGCCTTTCCGTACTACCAAAATACCCACGCGACACGCGGTCGAACGGCTAATCGGCATATTCGCGAGTTTAGATATGAGAAAGATGGTTACATACTGCATTCACTCGAATTCCAGCCGGCAAGCCTCGTTTGTCAGCTGGAAGCTACTAAGCTTTGGTGGCTCATTATCGCGTGCTCAGCTATACTCCGGCTTCGTTCCCCGACGCGATAGTTCCCGTATGTGGGCGCGTCAAGGCCATTAGCTATCAGAGTGACTGAAGCAGACTTTCAAATCCTGCGTTTATCCAGTGGCATTGCGTTCAGCCGCGAAGCGTCGGGACGGCTAAGAGTGCCGGCTGTGCTCCCTCTACTTACCTACTCAAGCCTGGACACTGAATTTACTATATATTAAAGAACTACTAGTAAAGAAGTCAGGGTACTCTCCTTATAATATCTCAGTAAAATTTTTTAATTATCCTTATATTTCTTTTACTCTAATCTATTATTATCTATCTCTATCTTAGTACTAGGCTATAAACTTAATATAGATATAACTAAACTATCTATTATTTTTATAGATATACTATACTATATATAAGATATATATACTATTAAGATAACTTTAATAAATAGTACTAGCTCTATAGATATTATTAGAATTAGTTATAATCTCTACTATTATATAATATACTAAGATTATTAATTATAATATATATATATATATAAGATAATATATTTATAGATCTTAAGAATAATAAACTATAAACTAGACTTTAAACTAGTATTTTATAAATCTAAACTTAGAAAACTATTTAATCTATTTTAATACTCTGCTCTATTAGGATAATATTAATATTTTTACCTTCTTAAGTATATAGCTTAGAGCTCAGTATTTTAAACTACTATACTATAGCTCTAATAAATAAAGATTTCTCTTCTTTCTAATATACTAAATAATCTAGTTTTATAGCTCTAGAAAGCTATTTAAATATTAAAATTAAAATACTAAGTAATCTTATATAGTTAGTAAGAAATTTATCTTAGATATCTTAAGATTAATATCCTCTAGTATTAATAATTATAAAGACTTTATAAGTATTAATAAATATATAGAGTACTTTACTAGAGTTATATATAATAATAGCTCTTATTATTTTTATTAAACTATTCTATAAGAATATATATTTAAACTTCTTTCTAGTTTTCTACTAAGATAGAGTTAATAGTATTTAAATTATTATAGAAAGTATTAAACTCTCTAGTCTAAGCTATAGCTTATATATATTAAAAATAATACTTAGTATAGTTTAACTTTATATTTTCTCTTAGCTTCTCTTTATATTTATTTTTTAAATTAAATATCTTTTTCTTTCTAGAAATTTTATTCTGATAATTTACTAAATATACTATATTTTTAATTTAATATTTTATAATACTTCTTTTACTATATATATTAATAAATTTATTAGATTTATTAAAATACTATTTAATATTTATAATATTTATACTAGGTTTTATTACTAGATTAATATATAATAAGTTATTATTCTTCTTATAAAAAAATATATTATTAGATTTATTATTATTATTATTCTTACTGTTTTTATTATTATTATTATCTATTTTACTATAAAATATATTACTCTTATTATTACTCTTAATAAATTTTTTAATTAATAATTTCTTTTTCTCCTTTTTCTCCTTCTCTTTATCCTTCTCCTCCTCTTTACCTCCTCTAGATTTAGTCTTAATAGAATTCTCTTTATTACTATCTCTATCTTCTATATTAATATCTATTTTAATATTATAACTAAAGTATATACTACTATATATTATATAGTATAGTTTACTTTTTCCTCTAATAGGAGAAAAATTATTATAAATTACTAATAAGTTTTTATAATCTATAGATAAACTTACTATAGACTATTAGTAAGCTAATATAAGCCTCTTAGTATATATATATATTTATTTCTTTAGTTTAAATACTTTTTTAAATAGTTATTAATAATATTATTTATACTTCTATTAGAACTAGTTTTATAATATTTATATATTAATAATATATTATAAATTTAACTAATATATATTATTATATATAGACTCTACTTTTTCTCTCTAATTATAACTGGATTATTTAGATCTTATAATAATTTTTATAATTCTTAAGCCTAGATTATTACTAAGAACTGATAATCCCCTAATATATATATATATTTATTTTATTAATTAGAAGTACTCTTTTAAATAGTTATTAATATAGTAGTTTATCTATAACTAGTTATATCTCTATTAGAACTAGCTCTATAATACTTATATATTAATAGTAATTTATATTATAATCTAATCTTATACTATAATTATTAACTTTACTAATATCTTACTCTAGAACTAATTCTCTAGTATAATAAGTAGTATTGCTATAAATAATACTATTAGATAATTAAATTAGTATAAGCTTACTAGTTTACTAAGCTTAGCCTAATAGCTAATATCTATAATAATAATATAATATTTATTAATAAATATCTACTATAATAGCTCTATATATACTAGCTTATTAATATATTTAGAAAACTTAGTACTTAATACTATATTAGTATTAATAATAATTAAATATACTATTTATAATATACTTTCTTATTTGAAATTTATTAATAATTTATATTAAATATAGTTAATCTCTATATATATTATTTATCTAACTAAATTATTTATTAGTATAATAAATAATATAACTATAATACTTATATCTATATTCTCTATTATAGCTAGTAATATAAATAATATACTTTTACCTATCTCTATTAATAGTATATTAATTACTATTTAATCTACTTTAAGTATTATAATTAATTATATACTCTTAGCTTACTTATTAAATTACTAAGTTATCTTTAATCTAAGTAGTCTTTATAGCTTATCTATTATCTCCTTCTCTATCTTCTTTCTCTTCTAAGCTAATTCTCTCTTATAAGTAGTTTTTCTTTATTTATAGTTAGTAATTACTTAATTAGAACTAATATTCCTTTACTATTATTATTACTTAGTTTTCTAACTATTTAATATATACTTCTATCTCTTTTTTTTCTCTTTCTCTTTTTCTTTTCTTTCTTTTTCTTTTTCTTCTTTTTCTTTCTTCTCTTTTTTTTTTATACTATTATTTCTATTTAGAAATTAATACTATAGTTTACTAATCTCTTTAAATATTATAATTATCTCTAGTTATAGTTTTTCTAGAAATCTAATATATATAGTATAATACTATTTTATAATCTATATTCTATATATTAATTATAGATTCTATATAATATTCTAGTTTTCTCTATAATTAACTAGCTTATCTATAATTAGATTAATTTTAATATTATTCTTCTTATTCCTATTCTCTATCTTAATCTCTAGTTATTTTATAATAAGCTTTTAAATCTTCTATTCTATTTTAATTATAACTATTTAATATTATTCTATTCTAAGTTTTATTCCTATCTCTATTTATATAATCTAGATAAGCTTCCTATTAAGTTAATTAGTTTCTTATACTATTAAACTACTATCTTTCTATATATACTTAAACTGCTCTCTATATAGCTCTATAAGCTAATATTCTCTCTATAGTACTCTCTTAGCTAGAAATAACTATATAATATATATTATAATTATCTATTTAATCTAGTTAGAAATAAACTATATTACTTTCTAGCTATTATTATAAATTATCTTTATCTTATCTTAGTTTATTATAATTATAATCTATTTATCTATTATAAATATATTCTAGATTAACTATTATAAACTATAATACTATAATATTATAATTTCTAATTCTCTTTTTAAAAGCTCTCTTTATATATATATAAATATAAGTAATATCTCTTATAATAGCTATAAATCTTAAAGCTACTTTTTATCCTTCTATTACTTCTATTAGTTCTATATAGTATTCTATATTAATACTTCTATTAACTATATTACTTTTACTAGTTTAAACTCTAGCTAGTTATTCTTTAGATTACTTATAAATAACTAATCTACTCTAAGCTATATTATATTATTAATAATTTACTCTATATTAATCTTTTAATAGATTATCTACTATATTTCTTTAAATAGTCTATCTAGTAGCTTTTCTATTTTTATAATCTCTTTATATAGTATATAAGTGAAATCCTTAATACTAATATACTTATCTATATAGAATATTATCTCTCTATTATTAGATTATTATACTAATAGCTACTTTTCTATTTTCTATTAGTATCTTTTTCTATATACTATTTATTTAATAATTATACTTATAATAATATAAGTATCTATATATATCTATAATATATACTATTCTTAAAATATAAATATAATTTTAATTCTAATCTTATATTATGCTAAGAAGGGTCCCAGCAGGGGTCGGCCAGCTTATGGCCAGATCCTGCTTAGATAAGCAGCCCAGTAGCTATATAAGCTGCTGCAATCTAGCTAGATAATCTAGATAGAGGGTTAAACCTTAAGAATTATATTATCTTATATATAAGTAAAGATATTATAAACCTAGGCTTTAACTATAAGCTATCTAACTATAGCTACCCTGTAGTTAATAACTAAGAACCTATTTATAATACTTAAGCTGGTTATAGCTAGTTTTAAGTATAATATCTTATCTTAATCTAGTAGCTAATTCTTAAATATAATCTCTAAAAAAAATAACTAGATCTACTATAGTATAATAATTAGTATATTAGTATATAAATATTATACTTAAAACTAGCTATAACTAGCTTAGGTATTATAAATAGGTTCTTAGTTATTAACTATAGAGTAGCTATAGTTAGATAGCTTATAG